AGAAATATAACATATGTATAAATATATAAATTTTCCCCCTTTATAACATAAACATGCTATATTGCTTTTCAAGTTGAGGGAAGGTATATCATACTGCAGAAAGGACCAGTATGGTACCTAATGCCATGTATCTTATGTCTTCTCCCAGGGACGCAGTTGCATGAAGCTAGCCAGCAGCTGCAATTTGAAAATAATGCAGAAGACCTAAACCGCTGGCTGAATGAGGTGGAGCAGCAAGTTACCTCTGAGGATTATGGGAAAGGCCTGGCAGATGTCCAGAATCTACTCAGGAAACATGGCCTTCTGGAGTCAAATGTGGCTGCTCGTCAGGTCTGTTGCTAGCTCTTTCGCCGATTGTAGGAAATTGGTGTGTAAACTCTGAACAGATCCATAAGAAATAATGCCAAGAGTGCAAGGGACTAAAGGTAAAAACTCAATTTTTTTTTTAGTTGGCCAACTGCCTCCTTTCAATATGTCCTTTGACCTAGCCTTTCCCCTGGGTGCTCAGTGTCTTTTGTCAGAACCCCATGGCTAATGTAAGACTTTATTGACTCTTTTAAACATAACACTCTTCTCTCAGTCCAGAGGTCTGGATTCTTATAACCTTGTTACTTGCTAGTTATATGGTCTTTGTAGGCAACTTCATCTTTTTGGGCCTGGGTATTCTTACCTGTAAGATAAGGGTTTTGGATAAAATAGCCTCTTCCTGTTCTGATACTCTGTGATTTAAAACTTGACAATATCTTGAATTCTCTTATTGTTTTAGTTAAGAAAACTGAAGCCCAGAGACGTAAAATGACCTTCTCAGTGTACAGAGAAAATTAACAGCAGCACCAGGACTATGATGCAGATATCTAGGCTCCTTGTGGGAAGTGTTATTCTTCCCACTCCCCACCAGACTATTATTTAAATAAACTTATTCAGTAAGTTTCTAGAGCATGGATACTACATGGGAGTTTCTGGAGAATTCAGTGGAAGTCCAATTCCAGTTGATTCCATTTCTCATTCCAGGAATCCTGGCTTGGATTTGAAAATTATTATGCTGTTTACTAGAAGGTCCCACTATCTATCTTGTTAAAATACATGTTTATAATGTCTTCTCTTTGGTCGTTTAGAGTCAATTGGAAAATATAGGATAATCTACAGAAAACAGAAAAAAAAAGTCACTAATATAAATTTAAGGATAGCTCAATGGGGCTGTAAATAAAATAAAAGGCTGGAGGTAGCAAAGCCATACAAAGATGGCTTTGAAGTCTACATGGAGGAACAGATTTTTGAAGGAGAAAAAAGATAAGATTTGGAGAAAAGTAAAAGAAAAAAAGTTATCCTGAGGAAGAGGAACAGGAGGAACAGCATATGTAAACATTTAAGAAATAAGAATATGTGCCTCTACCTGGGAATGGTAGGGCAGCCATTCATAGGAACTGATTTTCCTTGTGGGGATGGATGCTAAGATATGATGCTTTCAAAGGAAATTTTTGATATGGAAAGTTAAAGCTGGAAAAGATTTTTAATATCCTCTAGTTCAAACTCTTCATTCTATAGTTGAGGAAAATTGGATCAAAATAGGTGAAAGATCTTTCCTAATATTACATGGAAATTGAGTGACATGCAAGGGCAGAATCCAGGTCTCCTATTTCCTTAGTGTGGGCCATCAACCACTGCATTAGTGTTTTTCAAAGATGTCTTATCTAGTGCTGCTACAACAGAAATACCACAAGCGGGTGGCTTTAACAAAGATAAATTTTTCTCACAATTTAGGAGGCCAGAAGTCCAAATTCAGGGTGCTGGCTCCAGGGGAAGCCTTTCTCTCTCTGTTGGCTCTAGAGGAAGGTCATCATCTCTTCAGCTTCTATTTCCTGGTTCCTTGGAGATCTCCATGCGGTTGGGTTCAATCTTTCCCTCATCTCCGCTTGCCTAAAATGCTCCTTTATGCTCCTTTTATCTCTTGTAAGAGATTGACTCAAGACACACCCTACAGTAATCTTGCCTCATTAACATAACAGAAAACTCATTCCCAAATGGGATTAGAACCACAGGCATAGAAGTTAGGAATTACAACACATATTTTGGGGGGACACAATTCAATCCATAACATTCTATTTGCCCCCCAAAATTCATGTCCTTGCCACATGCAAAACACATTCACCCCATCACATCATGCCAAAAGTCTTAATTCCTAGTCCAAAATCTCATCTTCTAAATCAAATATGGGTGAGATGTTAGCATATTTCATCCTGGGGCCAAATTCCTCTTCATCTGAGAGCTTGTGAAATCTAGACTACAAGTTATCTGTTTCCAAAGTACGATGGTGGAACAGGCACAACACAGACATTTCCATTACAAATGGGAGAAATTGGAAAGAAAAAAGAAAACGGCACCTAGCATGTCTAAAACCCAGCAGAACAATTTACATTAGCTCTCAAGTCTTGAAAATAATCCTCTATTCTTTGGCACCAGCTAGGCAATTGCTCTGCCCTCCAGGCTCTGGATGTTGGCCATGCTGTCTGGATTCTGGGTGGGGGCTCCTTGGCCCTGGGCTACAGCTCTGCCATGCAGGACTTCTGGGATGGCAACTCTGCCCCCTGGGCTTTTGGAGGCCCCATTTTCCTAGTTCATCTGAGTGGTGACCCTACCCCTTTGGCCCCGGCAGGCCCTGTTTTCTGCCCCTTGAGCATGGCATCCCCACCCCCTCAGCTTTAGGGGGCAGCCTTATCCCCCTGGTACACTTTAACAGCAACCTCACACTCTGGGGAACCAAGTTGGTGAAGATCCAACTCTTTGAAACCTAGGAGGCTGTGGTCCCACCCTTTGAAATCCAGGGGACCGTGGCCCCACCCTTTGAAACCAGGAAGGCCCTGCTTCCTGTATTCCTTCCAACAGTTGTGCTGATCTCTGAGCTGCTCCAGGGATGGTCCTTTTCTTTCCTTGGAGGACAACAGATGTAGTTCCTTTGGCCTGTTTCCTGTCTGTAGAATTCCAAGAGGCAGACAATTTTCTTTCCTTTCGTTCTGTCTCTGTCACCTTCAGTCTAAGTTGATGTGTTATCTGCTGTGGTAGTTGATTTGATCTATTAGTCACAGGTTTAATCTCCTTAAAAAAAGACTGTGTAGCCACATCCTTGGTGAACATTCTAGGACACATGTCCTTAGTTTGTACAATGGAATTTTCCAAATCTTTAAGTTCTGTTTTCATTTTGCACAGCTCATTTTTAAGTCCATCTCTTTCCTCTTGCTTTTAGTATGAGGCAAGGAAAAACCATGCACCCCCTTCAAGCTCTTGCTTAGAAATCTCATCAACCAGTTATCCAAGTTCATCACTTAGAAGTTCTACTTCCACCAAACATTTGAACATAATTCAGACAAGTTTTTTGCCACTGCATAAAAAGCATTGCCCTTCTTCCATTTTCCTATCACATTTTCATCATTTTCTTTTAAAACGTTACCAGAAGCATATTTAATGGCCACATTACTACTAACATTCTGTATCTGGTGCCATATGTATTCTCTAAGATGATAGACTTTCTCCATAGTTCTGCTTACTTCCTTCTGAGCCCTCACCAGAATTGCCTTTACCATCCATAATTTTACCAACAGTCTCTTCAAGACAATCTAGGCTTTTACTATTTGGCACCTTAAAACTCTTCCAGCCTCTATCCATTACCCAATTTCAGAACTGCTTCCACATTTTAGGTATTTGTTAGAGCAGCATCCACTTCTGGTACCAAATTCTGTCTAGTGCTACTACAATAGAAATACCACAGGTGGGTGGATTTAACCAAGAGAAATTTATTTTCTCACAGTTTAGGAGGCTAGAAGTCCGAATTCAGGATGCTGGCTCTAGGGGAAGCCTTTCTCTCTCTGTTGGCTCTGAGGAAAGGTCGTGGTCTCTTCAGCTTCTGTTTCCTGGTTCCTTGGAAATCTCCATATAGCTTGGTATCAATCTTTCCCTCATCTCTGCTTGCCTAATATGCTCCTTTATGCTTCTTTTATCTCTTGTAAGAGATTGTCTCAAGACACACCCTACACTAATCCTGTCTCATTAACATAACAGAAAACTCATTCCCAAATGGGATTATAATTACAGGCACAAAGGTTAAGATTTTCAAGACATATTTTTGGAGATACAATTCAATCCATAGCAAAAGAGCATTGTGGATCCATGATCATGATGACGGTGATGTTTGAAAATCATTCTATTACACTGTGATATGCTTCAAAGCCAAAGTATCCTAACTGTTCTAGTCAAAGACTTTTATTTTAATTCTTCTATGTGGACTTTCATTTTTTATGAAGTGGCTATATGTTCAAAGAAGTTATTGATAGTCAATGTTTTATTTACTGAGAAAACATAGATCAAACTCTTAACAGGTTGAGCCCTGGATGGAAAAATAGAATAAGTAAAACCAACATCTGCTGTTCCCCTGACTTTTGACTATTTCTCTTATGTATAATTCACTCCCCTGCCCACCACCAACAAACAAACGAACAAAAAAAAAAAAACAAATAGACAAAAAACCTGAGTACTGTGTTCCTGCCAGGCCAGTAATGGTTGACTAGTGAAGATGGAATATGTCTCTTGCATCTGTTTTACCATATAGGCAAACAATCAAAATTTTACTTCTAGGAAGACCCTTCAAAATCCTGTTTCTATTGTCTTCTTTCCCCAGTATGGTCCAAATGGGGACCATTTTCTCAAGTTCACACAACGAGGTACTGGCCAAGGTTGTGCCTTTACATTTCTCTTTCTGTGGTTCTGACATTTTCTGCAATTTATTTTCTTAACATCATGTTTCATCTCATAGATCCTATTCCTGCTGTACAACAAACTTAAGCCTTAGAAGTTTCAATTTTATTTACATCTGTAGTTCATTTTAAAGAGAGTAATACAGGGTGGAAATGGAACTGAGATAGCCAAAACTTCCCACTGTTTTCCTTAGAGCCACGATTTAGTAAAACACTCCCACACAGTTAAGCCTTGCAGTTCTGATTTCTCTGATTTTCTTGGAGCTTCCCATAAACATTTTGTCTTTTTTGAAATGTAGTTTGAGAACTACTATCTCATATAAGGCTGTTAGCTTGATGACGTGTTCCATGCTGTAGTATCCTCTCCCACTCTTTTCCACTAATTTAATTAGAGGTGCTAACATGGTATATATGAGAGCTGATTCACCCCAAGCGCCCCTCCTCCAAACTCCAATCTCTTCCTCTGTATACTCTTTCTAATTTCTCCCTCAGGGTCAGGTGGGCACCCTCACAAACCTGGCTGCATATTTTGAAGAAATGGGTCACCCTGATGCTGGGGACATAAGGTCAAGGCAGGAGTCCTTGGTGTCCCGATATGAAGCCCTAAAACAACCTCTGGCCACACGGAAAAAGAAGCTCATTGACCTCGTCAGCTTGCAGCAGATCTGCAGAGACACTGAGGATGAGGAGGCCTGGATCCAGGAGACAGAACCTTCAGCTGCTTCCACCTACCTTGGTTAGTACAAGCTGAGCCGGCTGTGCCACAGGAAAGGTCCAAGATGTCTGCAGATTGATGGAGAGATCTGGGATGCGTGGAAAGTGCTCTCAGCTCTTCTCCTTCAGACTCATGAAAATTTGTCCAGTCTTCCACAGGAAGATTTTGTAAAACAAATTCAGACTGAAGAATCCACCTCTAAAACGCCAGACACAAGCAGTGCAATGATTTCAGGGAAGAACTAAAGTGATTAGTTTTTTGCAGCTTACGGTACCCTAAGTTATTGTGAAGGTCCTTGGCTAAGCCGTTATGGTTAATGTTTCAGGTACCAAATGTTTTTGTCTAGGCTGTTGGTGCCACCCTCCTTGTTCTATATTTTTGTCTATGACCCCCTTTTTAAATTGTATGAGCTATTACAGGAATAAAAGGGGTGAAGAAGCAGATAAAGTACATATTGCCTTTTCCTTGGTAGCTATCAGTTCACCAGTGTCAGTTGCTTCATGCTTGCAGTGAAACATAGGGAAAAACTGCATACAAATATAGTGGAAATTTTGCACACATGTACTTGTACTAGGAGTATATAGGAGGGACTGAACAATGATGACAATGGTGAGGTTAGTCTGAGAATACTTCCTAAAAGAGAGAAGTCTGAGACTTACTTGAAGAGGGGGAGGGATGAGTCTTCAGCAGAGATTTTTCTGGAGAGGCAGTATGAATGGAAAGTATAGGGAAGAAAAGTTTACAGGGAAGAGTGGTGACACGTGGATGGGAAACAGGCAGGATGAAGTAGACAATAGGAATTGGGGATATTAGAAGATGTAGGAAATTCACAATAGCTAGTATTTATTGTGTGTTTGTTAATTTGTCAATGTTAAGCAAAAAGTAGGACACTTGTTACTAAGTTATTTCTCATCCTTACAAGAAAACTTCAAGTATGCCCTTATTATGGTGAGAAAACTCACATTTAAAGGATTTAAGAACTTTCTTAAGTCCACAGAAATTAGCAAGTAGTAGATCTTGCTTTTCGCACTATGATATGACAAAAGAAAATTAGTTTCATGATATTAGAAATTTGAGCTTAGGCGTCTCCTTTCTACCTATCGTCAAAGAAAATAGTGATGTCTTCATTATCTTTTGTAGAATAATTAATTGAATTTTCTTAGTACGAAGAGACAAGAGCAAGAATAAAGCTGAGTAGAGTTAATTCTGACGGTATAAATTTCAGGAAACCCACTCATTGATTAGAACCTCAGATGGAAGAAATTGTTGGTCCAAGAATTCTAACAAAATGAGATAGGCTTTTCTCATTCCATACATCAGGATAATCTCATAACTTGAAATCCTTCTCCTATATAGGTAAGAACCTGATTGCCTCCCAGAATCTCCTGAACAGGCACCAAGTTATCTTGGCTGACATTGCCAGCCATGAGCCACACATTCGAATGATAACAGAGAGAGGAAATAAAATGGTAGAGGAAGGTACGTATGGTTTAAACTGGGTTGGCCAAATCATCACTATCCCAGATCTCTGTGAAGAAGTTTGCAGAATCTTAGGGCTTCAAGGGAATTTGAAGATATCCATCTTCCCACCCAAAGCAGAAATTCCTTTTAGACATTTCTAACAGCTAGGTATACATCTTTGTATATTTGAATAATAGGAATCACCCAATCTCATGAACCAGTCTTTTCTACCTTTTGCAAAGCCAAAATTGGTAAAAATAAAATATATTTTACCATAATCATAAACATACTCCTCTGTAGAAGAATTCAGAATCTAAGCTCCGAAGCCCCGTGAAACAAATCAGGTCCCATTCCCATTTGGTAGCTTCCAGATCTGTGAAGACAACACTGAAGTTCCCAATAGCTTATTGTTTTTGTGTTAACCAGTACCATATCCTTAAATTTTTCACTTTGTACAGTGTCAATGCCTTTCCTCATCTTGGTTTTCCATCTTCCGAAACTCCTGCTGCTTAAACATAATATGCAGAACTGAACATCATAGGCTAGGTGTGGTACAGGCAATGCAGATTACGTCTATTAATTGAAGAAAAAAATTCCTACCAGCCAATAACCAGCTTTAAAATGTGTAGCTTAACATTCAGACAGTTGAGCAAAAGTTCAGATCCCACCTGAAAGATTCAAACAAGAAAAAAAGGCCTGGCCATCTACTTACAGAAAATCAGCCGTTGAAAACCCTATGGAGTACAGTTCTACTCCGACACACATGGGGTTGCTATGAGTCAAAATAGACTTGACAGCAATTTTTATGTTAGTATAGAGACTTGCCTTATTGTTTCTTTTTTTTTCTTGAAATCTTCAAATATAATTATAGATTTGTCTACTACTCCTTTCAGTTTGATCATCTTTTGTTTCATGTATTTTGACGCTCTGTTATTAAGCACATATAATTTTAAGATTGTTATGTCTTCTTGATAAATTAAGATTTTTAACACTGTGAAAAATACTACTTTATCCTTGGCAATGTTCCTTGTTGTGAAGTCTACTTACTGAGATTTTAATATTGCAACTTCAGCTTTCTTTTGATTGTTATGTGCACAACACATACTTGTCCAGCCTTACTTGTACTCTATATTTTAAAATATATATGTTTAAAGTAGATTTCTTATAGATGGCATATAGTTAGGTCTTGCTTTTATTTTATGCTATCCAGTACTTATTCCTTTTTATTAAGAGTGTTTACATCGTTTATACTTAATGCAATTATCAACGTGGTTGACATTAAATCTAGCATCTCCCTATTTGTTGTCTCTTTTTTCATCACTTTTTTCCTTTTTTTTTTTTTTAATTTGGATATGAATTTTTGGATTTGGAGTTTTAGATTATGATTTCATTTTATCTTCGTATCACTTTATTAGCTATGGTTCTATTGTATGTGTGCATATGTGTGTTTGTGTGTGTGTGCTTGTTCTATGGTAGTGATTTTCCAATTGTTGTCCAGGGAACTTTTGAGGTCCTTGGGATACTTTGAAGGGGAACATGAAGTTAAAATATTTTTGTAATAATGATAAGACATCATTTGCTTTTCTCACGTTCATTTTTTCATGAGTATACGGTGAAATTTACCAGAACCTACATGAGGTGTGATAATGTTATTTATCTGATGACTAATGGAATATATACTTGTGAGTTTTTTTTTTTTTTTTTTGCTTTAAAAATTCCTATTTTAATTTTTGATGTAGCAACTATCAATAGATATAACCCAAATAAGCAAAAGCTTTTTGGGAACCTCAATAATTTTTAAAATTATGAAACGATTCTAAGAGTAAAATATTTGAGAACCTCTACCCTCTTTGACTGAAGAAAATAAATGGAGACAGAGTCGTTTTGCTGTGTTTGAGTGGGAGTAGCCTTTATCACACTGTTCTTGCTCTTCCTGCTTTTGCCAAAAGGATTAGAATATGGTGGACATTAACGAGGGTCACACTCACTTTTTCTATAACTACTCCACAGGACACTTTGCTTCAGAAGATGTGGCCTCTAGAGTAAAGAGTTTGAATGAGAATATGAAGTATCTACAGGCTCGAGCTGCTAGGCGGCAGAATGATCTTGAGGCGAATGTCCGGTTCCAGCAATACTTGGCTGACCTGCGTGAAGCAGAAGCATGGATTAGAGAGAAGGAGCCCATTGTGAACAATACTAACTATGGGGCTGATGAAGAAGCAGCTGGGGTAAGGTGGGGGGTGGGGATGGACATTGTCTCCTGAATGCCACTGAGACATTCATTGTCTCAATGAATACCCTTGTCTCATCAAATGATACCAAATATACCAAATTACTAATGAAGAATTTGCTTGGATTGTGGGACCATTACAGATTCTGCTAGATTAATTGTAGTTTCCAGAACGATTACCTTTGTTGTTCTTCTGCTGGAATATTCTCAGAATTGACAGTGATCTCAAGAGATACACCACATATTTCTAATCAGAGACCCACAGACTTTAGAGATTATCTAAATCCAAAAAGGTATGACCAGAGATCTATGACTATATTGGTTTCATCCTAAACTTCTCAGAGTAACCTTGGACTTTCACAAAGCAACCAGGGTCTTAATGTATAAGCACATTAATTAATTTATTGTTGTAAAATCAGACATATATGTTGAGGCAAAAAGAAACTCAAAAAGAAACAGTATTTTACAAATCTTTGGCACTAGAAATAAGTGACATTGACATTTAAATTTATGCTAATGTTTCACCCTACAAATTTATCAGCACAAATGTTATCAGCAACATTCTTTTGCAGCTATGCTTCGTATTGATAAAACACTAGTGCAATTTTGAGTTCATTTTAATTGTAGCAAATACATTGAAATTGTTATTTGCTTATTAACCCTTACTTCGTTGATACTTTGAAATTAGGTTTAAAAAGAACTTTATATTGGTTGAAATGTGGCTCTTACTCAGAATTTAGACAAAAATTGGCATAGCCCAAAATAATAGTAGTTGAAGCACCCCCCAGTGGTGTTTGATGTTCCTCTTGTATTTTCTCTGATGATCTTCCTGTCAACAAATCCAGGATCTTCTAAAGAAGCATGAGGCCTTCCTAGTGGATCTCAAAGCATTTGGAAACAGTATACAAGCTCTGCAGGATCAGGCAGAAGCCTGTCAGGTAAGGAGGACTCACAGGAATCCACATTTCCCACCACAAGGAAATAATTCTTTTCATCATGGGCTTCTACTTCCTACAGTCCAAAAAACAATTGTGAAGAAAACACTAAGATCTATGATCTTTATAGGCAGGAATGGTAGCATTTTTTGCAGCCTCTACAAAGATATAGTCCCAAAGATGTTCTAAAAAATGTTATCATGTGTTCATTGATAGTTTTATTCCTTTCTTATCTTATCACTTCTTTTTCTATTTCCACTCTTCTTTCTTTCTTTATTTTCATCTCACCTTATTTTCCTTCTTAATTTTCTTCCTTTCTTTGTTTTTTATACAAAGATTTATAAAATGTCTACCATATGCAATCAATTAGAAGGCCAGAAATTTAAACAAGTTAGTGCATATAACAGTTGTACAAACAAGAAAAAAGTCTTCAAAGAAAGGAACATTTAGTTCTCCTGCAATTGGAGTGCTGGGAGATAGGAACATTTTCATAACAGGTGAACCAATTTATCTGAGTTATTTTAAAAAATATGTGGTTTACTTGCAGTCAAGGAGAAAGGTCTTTTCTAGTTAATAAGCTATGAGAGCAAATGCACAGAGTCATAAAACAAATCAAGTATACTTGGGAAATGGAAAATGTAAATCGTTGAGAATGTGAGAATGGCTAGGGTGCAAGATGATGGGGAATATCATGAAAATTAATGAAGGTGGAATCAAGTCAGAGTCAGACAATGACATAACTGTGTCTCCAGTGTGTATTAGAAGATAAAAAGAGACACATTTCTTGTATTTAAGAAATTATTTCTAATGAGACATTCTAAATATACACTCTGGGAGTAAACAAAAGATGTAGAATTAGCATGTTAAGTCAATACATAGGTGCCAGACTCCTGTGCTTTGTCTTTACTAGTCTATGTACAGTGGGTGCTTAAACAAGAAAAGATAGATTTATCCATTGCAAGTTATGAGTAAACATAGTACTTGAAGGATGGTATCAGAGGGATGTATAAGAGGAAATACATCTTCAACCCCAATCTGAAAAAGGCTTGATGATCATGGCTTAGGAAGAGGGTGTCTATTTTGCTCGTTCTCTTAGAGATATGATATTTGCAGGAAGTAAAATAAAAAAAGATTCTACCTTGGAGAACAGATTGATTGCCATAGAGAGATGTAGTATATTTTTCATAATACTAATTTACTTTCTTATGTTTAAATCTGGTAGACTTTCATGGGCTGTAGATCACCCATCTGCTAAAAAGAAAGTCCACCACTCCTTGACATAATAAAGGCCAAAGGGTGGGAAGGATTGTCAGTGGAAATCCAGGGAATGAGGAAGGTGGTGAGAGATAACGGGTCTTTCACTTTAATACCTGACTTTCTGAAACTTTGATGTGTATAATCCTTTTGGAACTTCTTAAAAAAGTGTATCACCTCTCCTACTTTAAAAACCAGTGGCTTAGAACACTTAATATGATGCTGACCAACTATATATTAACTTGTTTAGCCTGTGTTAACATTTCCCAGCCAGCTGATCTCCCGAGAAGTGTTGAGTAGGCTAATATTTTGCAATTTCTCTGTTGCTAGCAGCCTATAAAGAGGCTCTTGTCAGGGACAGTTGTCCTTTGTCAGGCCCAGGGACTGCCCAACGCTGGTAGGCTCTGGAGGGAGGAGCCGGGGAGATATTTCCAAGAAGTGACTGACATGCTTGTTTACTGTTTCTCTTCAGCAACAACAGGCTGCACCAGTGGAGGAAGCTGGTCGAGAAGCGAGGGTTGTGGCTTTATATGATTTCGAGGCCTGCAACCCCCTAGGAGTCACCATGAAGAAAAATGATGTCTTAACCCTGATTAGTTCCATCAACAAGGTGACTTTCCTTTCTAAATTTCTTTCCATCAAAAGGGGGCTCTTTCACACCTAACGCTTTTAACACTACCAGGTGTTCATATTTTGGCCAGCCAACATTTTTCTATCACTTTATCTCTTAAATAACTATAATTTATTATGTAGTATCTTTCTTCCAGATATTCTGTAAGAACCTGTACATATCTTTTCCAATCTTTATAGGAACTCTGTGAGGTAAGATTATAATTCCAATTTTACAGTTAAATAAAGGATGTTTCAAAGGGCTTAAGTACTTTGCCCAAAGACACATAAACCACTAGTGGCAATTCTGTAATAGATTTAAAGGACTGAACTGTCCTTTTCTTCCTGCCTTTTTGCCCTTTGCTTTTCTGTGCCTGTGTTCCTATTGATGGGGTAAAAATAGCTGGGGTTAGGAGGAGCCTGATAAAAGATTTTTTTATTCTAAGTCTTTTATCAGTCTGATTTTCTTTAGACCTTATACCTATGAGTACAGTGACAAAATATTGGCTAGGATTATTAACATGTTTTTCATAAGAGCTCAAGTTGTTTTTTTTTTTTTTCCTTTAATTCTAATACCCAATGAATCTCCAAAAATACTTGGGTAGAAAGAAAGAAAATTTGGGATATCATTGCTGTGAGAGTACGTTAATTTCTTGAAGAGATAAGATGTTTCATTCTCAAATAAGCTAAGCCCCAATCTCCCCTCTCTCTTTGCCCAGGTCTGTCCACTTCACCACATTATCCTCTGATAAGATTAACTTCCGAGTGGGTGGTATAGCAATACTCCCAAAATACCCTGTGAGTATCAGGGTGATACTTAAGTAAAAGCCATTTAGAGAAGTAAATTTTAGGGCAATCTACAATTTTTGGGTACAGAAGAGGAATAGGGGAGAAGATAAATTTTGTGTAACCTTGTCATACACAGCTGCTTCATCCACAAGAAGCACAGTTAGATTTTATCTTGCTTCTGTGTGTGTGTGTGTGTGTGTGTGTGTG